CACTTGTGGTTTAAATTTAACAAATTATTCTTGAAAACTTTAGCCAACCACATGACAAATATTTTCATTAAAATTTTATGAAAAATAATCACTTTTAATTATGATTACTCTATTAATTTACTTTTGGGGAAATACTTTTGATTCACTTCTAATGGAATCCTATGGCATTCTACTGGGGACATTCATTTGGAACTCAGTGTATATGGGGGCAATATTCATAAACGAACAGTATGACATTTTTTGTAATTTCATGTATACAAGTTATAACTTATAAGATTTAAAAATGGTGTTACAAAGCGATTACAAAAATAATCATATCTCGGTCATTTGTCGCTATCAGCCTGAAATATTTAATTTACATTTTTTATTTGCTTTAATCTACACCAAAAACTAAATGCTGAATATGTACGGACTCAATAAAAAATAAGTAACTGTTGGACATTTGTGGCAACCTATCGTTTACATACGCCCACTACAACTCGCTTTGCCTGCAAGTCTTCCCGACCAATCATCAGCACTGGGGGCACATCGGTGTCGGGCACCCGATAGAAACGAAACTGTTGCAACATTTTGACCATGGTCAGTTTGAGCTCGAGCATGGCAAAACGCGTGGCCACACAATTACGGGGTCCGACGCCGAACGGCATGTATGTATAGGGTTTGATGTTATGGCGATTGTCGGGCAAAAAGCGGTCGGGTTTGAAGGCAAACGGGTCGGGAAAGTAGTCCGGATCGTGATGTAAGGCGTACACCGGTATTTCAACGATAAAATCTTTCTCAATCATAGCCTGGAGTCCGTCGCCACCAGTGGTCAGCACCACGTTTTCCGACGCCTGTCTTATGATGCGATACACCGGCGGATATCTGCGAAGTGTTTCCGATACGACGGCGTCCAGAAGTGGTAGTCGTAGCCAAAGGGTGTCGTAGTCTATGTCCGCCGTGTTTTCATTGTACGCGGCGCTGATCTCCGCCACCAACCGGTCCTGAATATCGGGATTGACTGCCAACTCATAGGTACAGTACGACAGTGTAGTACTCGTGTTATTATAGCCGACGGTAAAAAATAAGGCGCTTTGGGCCAGGATTTCAACTTCAGTCAACTTCTTACCCACGAGTCCACTCAACGCACGGCTCTCTGCAATCAGTTTGTCGTCGGCTTCGGTGTCCGCACCGGTAGTCTCGGTATTGCTGTCGTCCACTACTTCTGCCTTCGCGTCGATCAACAACTGTAGGAAATCGTGATGTTTTTGGGCCGACGTTTTGCGCTCAGCCAACAAACGCCGGGCGATAGCGATGAGCGATGTGGTGACCGGCGGTCCGCCACCGGTTATCAACCATTTCCAACAGATAGTGTCGGTTATAAATGTGGGCAAAATCATGGCCAATATTTTATGCCATATCCTAATAGAAAATTGATTTGTTACATAGAGTAGTGACTTATTGAGTAGCGGATTGTTTTGGTCGAAGTAGAGATTGATTTTGGTGGCGAACGCCGTCCGGGCGATCACATCCATGCTATAGGCGTTCATCAGTTGTTTCAGCTCCACCTGAGTTGGCCTGAGCTGACCGGTGTTGTTGTTGGCGGACACCTGGCGGTCGAGTGCGGCCAATAAGTCGCCGCAACACTCGTCGATGAGTGGGTACATGTGTTTGAGTTTACCCGACGTGAATGTGGGGCTGATTATCGTTCGCAACCGTTTCCAGTGGCCATCCCTGGCGTGGATCACAGTATTGACGGTCATCTCGTCCTGGAGTGCGTTCGGCCGGTTTGTGAAGGCGTGAAAGTACTCAACCATTATCTGTTTGATGAGCGCCGCGTCCGACACTAGTAGTGAGGGTTTATCGCAATTATACACTCTATTAGACGTTTAGGCGATTATATTATATGAGTTTCAAAATGTGTTTATTTTAATTTAATGATTACCCGTAGAGTCGGCCGTAACTGTTAAACCACTCCATGTCGACGACTGAACTCGGTTTTAGTAAAAGAGTTAAATTATTGCCAAACAATGGGATGGGTTTTGGACCAGAGATGTTGCGCTCCGACCAGTAGTTCAATATTCGACACCATTTGCTAGAATTGATTTGCAAAATATAATTGTTATTAGTTGTTAATACAGTAATTATAATATAAAGTATAATTTGGTCCTAATAGCCATAAATTGTCACCTAGATCGGTTAGCTGTTCAATTTTTAACTATAAAATTAAGCTATGAATAATGTGGTTTATAAGCTCTCCCATATTTTACACTCTGTATAATAATTATAGAATATAAAGTACTTACAAATAATTATATGCGATCAAAACGGCTATAATAGCTGCGACCAAATACCACAGGTTTTGTGTGATAAGTGTTGTGACAAATAGTGGCGACATTTTTATTAATGTTCAGAATATGTTTTCCTTAACAAACAGTTTAAACACGAAACTTGTTTTGTAAATGTAATTTGTCTGTTGAATATTTATCTTATATACTAACTGATGCTTGCAAAAACTAATAAAATTTAACCAAGTCACTTTGAGCATAACTGATGTACCCTAACTCCCATTGATAAGTCGCGTCTTGTTTAATGAAAAAGTGCATTTTACAAAACAATCAACTTAACTTATCTATGGATTGTAACTACTTATTTAATGCTTAATATTTTGAAAATTCGTTTTCATTTGACTAATGCTTATCACAAAAATTATATTTGTTGTTTGTGGCTATTAAACTGAGATATTTAATTTATATATTTTTATTTGACCTAATCTACAAGTACAAGAAAAATAAATTATATTTTGTATTAGCAATGAATTATGATCACTAATTCGCGCTACGGTCACTCAGGGGCCACTATTGTATATTGAGGTTATACTTTAGTAATAGCATAATCAATGGTATCAAATATGAATCTGCATATAAATTGCTATACTTTTAACACAAACAATATTGACTATTGACTATTGCATTTCAACATGAGAATCCCTGATCATGATTGTCTTTTTAGTTTTTACTAATACATAGAATGCGCTGATGCTTGTTTATAACACATAATATTACAATTATTACAATTTACACCGTATGCAAATACGACTATACAAGCTCTGTATTTGTTATAATTATTTTTACACTAACAATTATTGTCTTGACAACATAAAAGAATTTTTAATTTCCTTTTATCTTCTTTCCCCAAATGTTTTAAATTAATTAGTAGAATATAATACAATTACCATAATGTGACAAATATACAGTTTATTCATAATTGTACATCCTGAACCTTTCTCAGAACACTTTTAAATAACACTTATGTATTTTGCCTAAATGTCTAATGGCTAGATGTTCAAGTAAATATTGATATATTATTTATATTACAGAGGGTGGGTTTGTTTATTTAATCCTTACCATTAGACATTTAGGCAAAATACATAAGTGTTATTTAAAAGTGTTCTGAGAAAGGTTCAGGATATATATTCATAATGTTTAGAATATTTTGAGACATAACCAAAGAATTTGTTTAAATAACAAAACATAATTATACGAGCTTGGTTTATATAAATATACAGTTTATTGCTAATAATATTACATGTGTATAATAGATATATTGATATATTTCATTATTGTCTAATTACAGCAAGTTTAACCCTTCCTGTGTATCGTTAAAAAGTTACGTAGTTTGTATCGTGGTTGGTTTATCAGCCAATGTTAAATCAATGGGCAAAGTGTGCGCAGTGTACTGCGCTTGTACCGTGGCTGATTTTTATTGAGCGCAACCAATGCACTGTTTTATACTATCACTCAAAAGGAAATATTTTATAGGATAAATTGCCTAGGCCATTTTGATTGGTATGGACGTGTTTGGTATGGTCCACAGATGTATTTAAAGTTTAGATAATCGGCGAATGGCCAGAAATGATCGAATTATGGTCAAAATTCGAAATTTATACATAGCGTTTAAGGCATAGAAAAACATTCAGATTGATAGCAGTTTGGTGAATGGCCCCAGTTTTGTGTAAATCACCACTTTTCACATCTTATAAAATATTTCCTTTTCAGTGAAAAAAGTTAAAATGTTGCTTTACTAATTATTTATTTAATTTTTAATTATCAGTATTAATAGCATTTTAATTGTTTAGATTTACTCAATAATAAATATGTGAGGCATATCTGGATTTTTATTATGACTGAATTAGCCGTTGATTTTATATTAAATGCTAAAGTTGAAATGGCTGAAAAATCAGCCACGGTACAGAGGAAGGGTTAATGACGGATGTTGCTATTGTGCAATTACTTTTAAAGTATAGCCATAGGCTTAAACTGTAATACCATATTATATTCCACAGAGCGAGGGGTAGGAATGGGTTCTATAAATGATTCTATAAATATTTTTATTCATATCTGAATTGTAATTACTAGTTCTAACAATTAAAGGACTATGGCTATTTTGAAATATGCTATAATTTAATATCTCTATAGAAGCGAGCAGTGGTTTTTTAGACCAATATATAACAACTCACGACTCATTCAATTGCTATTAATTATCAATAAGTTTCTATCAAATTACGGCTAAATTCTATGATATAAGTTTAACATGGACAATGATAAATCAATGGATACTTTTAAGTTTTAGGCACATGGAGAAAATGCTTCCTCAATAAAAAAATTGTATTTCTATTAAAATATTTAAAAATCTAACAATTTGATTAAATTAAATTAAAAAAATTAAAATCAGCAATATTAAAACTTTTCTATAATAATCAATAATGTCTAACATTTTTCGGTATAAAACTAAAATAAAATTATTGTTTTTATTTATAAAATTAATATGTAAAGATATTTAATTTTGACAATGACTATTTATTTTTAATATTATTGTAAAAAATAATGAACACAAAAAGAAATATTTCAAAACTTATTACAACATTTCAGATCCTGAAACTAAATATAAGTAATAATATTTAATGTCTTAATGTATAGACTAAAGACCCATTTGTAGATGTATTACTTTTGTAAAATTTCAAAAAAATTGTCAAATATTTTACATTAAATATTTTCTATTAAATTTGCGGAATTAATTATCTTCGTAAGCATATTTAAAATTGTGCATAGTAATGTTATTTGAAATAACTTATTTCGTATAATTAAATTTGTAAAAATAGATAAATATTCAAACTAAGACAAACATGTTGATTATAACTTTTATTTTAAATACATGTTTATATTATTAATAATAAGCATGAATCAATATATTGTAAACATATTCAAGGAATTGGTTGTAGTGTTTAGAAACATATTTATGACCAGAAAACAGTGCGAAAGTAAGCGCCGATTGGATGGACAGGTAGTAGTGATTACCGGCGCCAACACAGGTATCGGCAAAGAGACTGCCTATCAAATGACATTACGTGGCCCTAAAGTAAGTAGCATGATTTTTTATGTAATTTAACTTATAATGAAATCTTTATAATATAATGAATAATGTTAATCGTATGGAGCTTTTCCCATAGATTTAACATGATAATGCTAAGTAGACATGCAACTTTTTCCAATTATCATTTCCCGTCCCGTCCCTCTTCCCTTATTTTTGATAAGAGGGAATCGCGTTTCGACCCGCTACAGGGAAGAGGGAATCCCTCTTTTTTCTCAAAAATTAATTGGAATCAAAAAATCTGCTGATTTCATATTGCATTTCGGCACATCCTAAAGGGTCCCTGACTTTAAAGGGCCCCAGCAAAACATTCATTCTGGCGGAAGTTGGTGCAACCTAACGCCGATCACATGTGGGCCCCGTCTAGTGGGGCCCATCACTTTTTCCGTCAATTTCAACTTTTTCACGGAAAATATTATTTTTCAAAATTTTCTTAAAATTTATAATTTTATATAAAAAATTATATAAATGTCTTAAGATTTGTATATTTTAAAAAAAATTACAAAAATAATTTTCCGTGAAAAAGTTGAAATTGGCGGAAAAAGGAATGGGCCCCACTAGACGGGGCCCACATGTAATCGGCGGTAGGCTGCACAAACAACCGACTAAATGAATGTTTTGCTGGGGCTCTTTAAAGTCAGGGACCCTTTAGTATGTGCCTTGCATTTCATTTACGATTCAAAACATTGTTATTTAGACATCTGTTACAGTTCTTAATACATTTAATACACAAAAACTATATTTATATCCTATGGAATTAGGGGGGAAATGAGGGAAAAAGAGGGGAATTTATAAGAGGGATTCCCGTCTCGTCCCTCTTCACTTATTTCATTTCCCTGTACCTCTTTTTCCCTCATAGGGAGGAGGGAATCCCGCGGGAATCCTTCTTTCAAGTCTAATGCTAAGTCTATTACAATGCTAATCATTTGGGTAATATTACATCTATGGGACTAATTCTGATCCTATAGACAATGCTAAGTGGATCGGACTAATGCTTTATAATGGATTTCTATAAGATTATAGCTTAAATCTATGAACACAAAAACAAAATTTTATATTATTTTAGAGCGAACGTAGTGAAAAAAGTGTAGATGTATTTCAAAATGGCACAGTTTTGGCTCTGAATTTACTCTCCCTAACCCGCTTGACTAATACGCATAACTAGAAATAGATATTAAAGTTAAAAGGAATTAAAGTTTAGAGTTTATATACATTCATATGAATGCCACGTGTTATACACTCAAGAAAGAGCGAGAGACTTAAATACACAGTACGTGTAGTACAAACAGCTTTGTCTATGCATTTCTCTCAGTAGCCTAGTATATTTGAAGTATATGTGACGTATCCGGTATGGGAGCAAAGGGATAGTGGGTTACAATTTGATTGAGCATGCCAGTTTTAAACGGGCTTTGGGCTAGTGATTATTAACAAAGAAAATTAGTATTAAAACTACATATAACACATAAAACTGTATATAAACATCAACAATAACATTAGAACATTTACAAAAATACAAACAATAAGGTGAAATAACAAGGAAAAATTTTGAAAAATGATATTTATTTAATGATGCTTTAAAAATTACATGTTGAAAATACAAGGGATGGCCTAAACAGCATATATGCATATGCATTTTATTTTGCATATATGCAGTTTATTTTGCATATATGCAGTTTATTTTGCATATATGCATTTTTTGAATATTGCATATTTTTGCGTTTTACGGTATAAAATTAATTTTTGCAATTTATAAATATATATTTTGATTAATTATAAAATATTATATATAAATATATTATAACTTAAAAATTTATTAATTAAAATTTAACTAATTAATTTTAAAAAATAAGTTTTAAATTATGTTAAATTAAATATTAACACAAACATTATCTGCATTAATGAATATAATAAATGTAATTTATAAAAATCAAAACATTAATTTTTAAAATAAAATTATAACATTTATTTAATTTAATATAATATTTTATAATTAATCAATAAATATATTTATAAATTGCATATATGCAATATGCAAAATAAAATGCATATATGCAAAATAAAATGCATATATGCAAAATAAAATGCATATGCATATATGCTGTTTAGGCCATCCCAAAATACAATTCTTAAAATGTAACTAT